CTTTGAAACTTAGATATTGTTCAAAAAAGTATTTTTCGTATCCGAGATGATTTGGATCATAGCAAAACCAATGGTAATGAGATGAAAGAAAATTTGCTAACTTTACAAGAAGAGTTAAGAAAAGGAAAACTGAATGAAGAAGAATTGGAGAAAAAAGTGGCAGAATTGCAAGCGTTAGTGATTAGAAAAGAAAGTGAATTAGAAGAAAGGTTAAAAGTAAATGAACAAAAATGAGAAGAAGTAAGAATCATGTTGAAAAGAGAAATAGATAAGCGAACCAATTTAACCGATAAACAAAAACAAGATTTAAAAGATGTTTGAAGTTATTTAAGAATGTGAGAAAGATCGGAAAAAGATAGAACTGAAGAGTTGAGAGTGGCTCGAGAGGATAAAGAGTTAATAATTAAACAAAAAGAAATTTTGGTAGAAGGACTAAAAATTTTCTTCGAAACATTAAGTAAAGATCCTGAATTAGATGAACTCATTTCCTTCAAGGATAGGTTTGGAGAAAAAGAAGAAGAATTAAAAAACCAAAGCAGTTTATTAAAAACACTTTCTTATTTTCGTAGCTGTTCTTATCTTCCTATTTGTGAAACCAAAAAAATCAGGGTGAAAAGTCTTGAGGAGATGGAAGGTTATAAGTTTGAAAAAGCAGATGATCTAATTTTTAAAGATGGACTAATTTTGGAAAAAAATAGCTGAAAAGAGATGAATGAAATTATTAAAGAGTGTTATGGAGAAAAGACAATAATTTTTCATTCTATTCCTATTTTTGAAAAACCTTTGCTTCTTAATTTATCTTTTCTTAACGATGACAATTTTTATAGTTTTGATAAAAACATCTTTGTTAATAAAATTATCTTTGATTTAGAACAAACAAATCTTGAATCTTTAGTTGAATTCAAAGAAGCTGATTGAGAAAAAAAAACAGTAATTTCACTTTGTTTTTCAGAAGGAAGCAGGAGTGATTTAGAGAGAATTCTTTACAAAACTCCTATTTCAGAGATAAAAAGTGATTCTTTTTTTAGAATAATAATGACTAAAGAACCAAGAGCATATGATTTTTTCCCAATCGCTAGAAGCAGAAGTGAAACGAAGTTAATAAGAAAAGGGATTGAATTTAGTCCAATAAATAATTCCTCATCAAAATATTTCAATAATTCAGTTAGGTTAGGAGTGGTAG